AAATGTATTCATGTTATGCCTCCCAGTCCTGCTCAAAGCCCAGGAACAGCTGGCAAGGATGAGACTTGTCTTTCAGGTAGCTCAGGAGTCAGGAGAATTCCTCTAAAGCCAGCATTGAGCTGGGTGTTTGTTTGGCTCAGCCAGACAATCTCTAAATGAATTGCTCTTGCCTTTGTCTGCCCACAGGTGCTGCGGGATATGTGTAAGCAGGGCTATCGGGATGCACTGCACTTCCTGAAGAAGAATGGTAAGGCACTGCATGTTTGTAGGGTGCACTGACTTGCCTCTTCTGTGCCCAGGCTTGGTGGCATGGCTTTGAGGATAGTCAATGGTGGATATGAAAGGCGAAAGGGTAGAATTAAGCTATGCCTCAGATATCAGAATGTGGAATTTCTATTAGTAAGTCTATTTTAGCACTTCAGGAAGCAGAGCTGGAGTGGACACCTTTCCAGTGCAATGCAGGACTATAACCACTCTGATACCAAAGTGGTGATTTTGGCACAACTCAGTGTTGAAGCTACTTAGCATGTGCTCAGTACTACACCAAATGGCACTGGTGTCTAACAACTGTGTTGTACCTCATGCAGATAGGGTATGTCTGATGTGGCACAGCAGTGCAGAGTGCAGGCATGCCCTCAAGCAGCCCCCATGCCTGGCAGTTTGATACTACTGTTTCATTCAATTCTACTTGCAATTGCTGGACTTCCTTGCCTCCAACTGTTGTAGCAGGTTGAGTGTGTGTTTAATGCCACCTAGTGTCAATTTATAGCAGGCAAGGCACACTTCCTTGCTATGCATACCTTTCTGGACTGAGAGCAGTCATGCAGCTGTGTTTGTGGAGTAAGCTGCAGGAGGAAAATCTTGCCTGCAAGATTGGTGACTAGCAGATTATAGCAACAAAACACTGTCAAACAGCGCCCTGTGGTACTTAAAGGGGAAAAGTTAGAATTTCTGGTGGGGAAAGAGAGGATGATCTTAAAGCAGCAAGGTTTCTAATTCATTGTGGTAAGCATTTCAATAGGTGTCAGCTAAAGAGGCTGGGTATGATGTCTGTCTGTCTGAGGGGGGTTAGGGTGAAGTGAGGACTAACACTCTAAAGGCTAGGCAAGGCAGCTAGTTTGTATCATCCTTATGTTACGACTTCTCAGGTCTCCTTCATCGTCCAAGTCCTGCCCGTCCTCTCCTTGCCATAGAAGCCCCTCCAGGAGAGAAGACAGACAAAGAAACAGAAGCTGAGGACCAACTAGAGGACAGTACTGCCCTTGCTGTTGTTGAAGAGCACATCTTTGAACACTTGCCTCCCAGGCTGAACCAAGGTATGATCCAAAGGGAGAGAGCCCAGGCAATCTTCCTGTGCTGCCTGGACCACTTCAGAGGATTACTGGGACATGTGGGTATTGCTTGTGGCTGGGCTTGGCCATACCCAGGGATTGAACTGGCACCTGCTGATGCTTAGATGGAGTTGGGACCTCTCAGGTGAAGTTGTGGCTTACCCTGTGGAGGCTGAATTGGGAGAGGTTGACTCATTTGATGGTGTCCTGCATGGCAAGGAGAGGGAGGAGATCTTGTTGCTCACCCCTTTGGGAGTCTGATAAAGCCAAAAGCTGCTGTTCTCAGCTGTGCTCAGAGAATTACTACCCTGAGCAAGACTTTCTTGAGAAGTGGAAGGTGGAGAAGGGGAGATCTCAGGCTGAGTAACTTCTGGAGTATGGTAAGGAAAGGGATAGTCCCATTGGGGGGATTCAGCCATGCTCTCTTCTGTCTCCAGCTCTTCTGGAGGCTTGTGCTGAAAGAAGAAGTTTCTTGACTGGCATCACCAACATGCTGCCTATACGTGTGGCCACAGCAATGATGGTCCCCTATATGCTGCCTTTGGAGTCTGCAGTTTCCTTCACTGTCAGGTAGGCCTTCATCTGGTTCCCTCAGTGGTGGTCTTCCCAGTGCAGCGAAGTGTTTGATGTAGCTGGTGTAGCATGAATGGACAGAGTAGGATCCTCTCTAACTCTGCAGTGCCAGAGTTCCTGGGGAAAAAGTTCCTGCCACTTATCAGATATATATATATAAAAAAAACCAAACCCAAAACCTTTTATACCTTCATGTGTCACTTAGCTACAGCCAATGCTTCCAGCTTGAAGGAAGATGGCTGTGTGCTGGAACATGCCCTAGAAAATGCTGATAAACTTTGGAGCCTGGAGAGAGACTTCTGAACTGGGAGTGCAGAGGTGAAAGTAGGAACCACACAAGAGGTGGTTCTCCTCTGGAGCGAGGGGTAGAGTAATTCCAGCCATTTCCAGCTCTATGTTTAGCTGGAAAGACAAGTCTTTCAGACTTGTTCTTAGTACAAAGTACCCTATGAAAAGTTTCTGGAAGGAAATAGCTTGTGATAGAAAGGCTTAGGGAAAAACACTTTCCAACTTTGAAAATGGATGAAAAATACAGAAAATGCAGACACAAGATGTAAAGAATAAGTTCCTTGGTTGTTCTCATCCTTCACAGCTTCTCCCCCTTAATTCTATGAATGGTAAATGGCTCTTAATGCATATGTCATTAAAAATAATGGGTAACCATTGATAGGAGGCAAAACTGGCGTTCTTTCCATCCTGTCCTTCGTGTGGACCAACTAATGGTTGTCTCCTGTCTCTTTCCAGGTTGCTGGAATGGCTCCCAGATATCCCTGAGGATATTAGATGGATGAGGGAGCAGATGACTGAAATCTGCAACTATCTTGTGAAGAAAGCCAAGAAGAAACTGGGCAGCCATCTTTCAGCCAGGTATGGCTGCTTTCCTCTGCAACACTGTTCTGGAGGAGCCCTCCATTTCCCCTTTTACATTTGACTTCTGCAGACTCTACTCCATTGGAGCAGATCAAGTAAGGCACACATTGACCAGAAGGATTTACTGCCCAATCTAAAATGCAAATCTGGTCTGTGGTCTGTTGGCTTCCTTAACTGTTGGATAGACTTAGCATATGGTCTCCTTCCTTCTTCCTGTTACAGGGCAGGACCTGTAATGAAGCTGTTGCTATAGCAATAGGGCAGAAGATGTAGGTCTGATTAAAACAATGTGCTAGCTTATTCCATGCTCCCTGTAGAAGATAGAGGTATTTGTCTATATGGCATTTGCTGGCCCAGGATCCCCGAAAAGTTCCTTCTAAGAGGTACTTGTGTTCAAATAACCTTTTCTGCCTTGAGATCTAGGTCTGGTTTAGGGTGGGGAGGCACTAGGGTGGCCAGGAAACACCAGAGGGTTTCCAAATGAGACAGTACTTTGGTCTGTGTGTGCACCTGTGCTTCTGAACTGAACTCCCTGCAGTAGGCCATGGCTTGAGGCTGAGGCAAGACTGTGTTGCTTGGATGACAATAAGAAACTGTATTACAGTAGTAGGCAGAGTGTTCCAGCTGTGTTTTGGATCCTAGTAGAAGGGGGTGATTGTTGCCCACAAGAGCTCATGATCTGAGTAATCAAGAGATGTGAGGGGCAACATCCGTGCACACACAGAAATGTCTGATTACAGTCATGCAATCAGTGGTAGAATAACACAGCTCTATGGTTCTGGAGCTCTGGTCTGATGACCTGCTCAAGTCTTCCCATGTACTGATTCTTTGCATGTGTTTGTCTTTCAGGCTTTACTATCACCTCGAGCTTGGAGGGCCCCAGAGCCTGGCAATTTCTTCCACATCAGCTTGTGGTGAAGCACTGCCTATGTGGATGAGAAGCAACCGTTCTCTATCTGATGTCATGATGAAGTGGGAGGAGTACCAGCGCCAGCTCATGCTGGGCTTACTCTGCATCAATGTGGACATGCAGGCCTCGCTCTTCCCTCGGGAAGGGTTTCAGATAAAGCTTCCACCTCTAGACTGTGCAAAAGAGTGCCTGCCACTCTTCTGAGCCTGCTGCTGTGAGGGGATGAGGGTGGGTGGGAAGGGAGAGCATGTAGGGTGGGACCAGTCTCATCCCTCAGCAGCCAGCTGCCCTGTGCTCCTAAATATGCTGCAAAGGGGACTTCCCTGGGGATGGAGACTGGTCAAATTGATTGTAGCCATTTGTTGCCCACTGGGCCAGGCAAGGGATCTCCATGTTTGAAGATACGTGTGGGCTGATACCTTGCTCTAGACTTGTGTTGAAGCCTGGCCATTGCCTGTGGCCAGGCTGATGTCGACCCAGCTGGGCTCTCCCAAATAATGCACTTTGAATTGCCATTGGCTTTTTACCGCCAAATGATCAGGGTGTAGATGATGCTCTCCAGTTCATACAGCTTTTAGTTTCCTTTGTTTTTTAGAGCATGAGTCTTGTTTTTTCTTAAATCATCTGGCATCCCCTAGCTCTTTGTGCTACTGAAAGATGAAGTAACTTCTTGCCAAACCAATTTTTCTCATGGCTTCCAAATCTCTTCTTGGCTTTCTTCTTTGCTGAAGCCACATGCTTTCCTCTGTCCCTTAACTGCATTCCCACTGGAAGCCAGAGCTGGCTCTGCTGCAGACTGCACTGGGACTGCAGAAATGTAGAAAAGTTGTGTTTACACTGATTCATGTTGTCATGGTCTCTCCCTTTTTGATTTGTGTCCTCATGGAACTGCTGCAGCTTGAATTCTGAGTGTTAAGTCATTGAGATTATTTTAAAGAAGTAATTTAGACAGAATTTTTTTCCAGGGTAACATGTTGACAGGAATGAGGCCTCAAATTCACTGTGAATGGAACTGGTGTGGGGTTGCCCTGGAAAAGGTCAGCCTGACTATCTTGGGATCAGCTTAGCAGCTGAAGCAATGCGAAGCACTTGTAGGAAGGTGAGATTGTGCAGAGTGTGTTATTTTTGAGTGGTTTGTGATGGAGTGTCACAGCAAGTGCTGAGGAGGTGGCTGCCTCTGACAGAGGTCAAGCTTTGCTCCTTGAGGGCTGTACAACTGAAGGAAGTTCCAAGGAGATACTGAAGGGACCTTCTGCCAAACTGGGGCTTGGTTCTATCTTTTGCTCAAAGAGTTTGGATGTTGAGGCTTTGGAGTGAGAAGGATTTAGGCTTGAAGCTATACCAGCCTCACAGCTTGCCTGTCTCATGTTGTGGCTAGCAGGTACAGCTCTGCAGCTGGCAATAACAGGAGTGAGAAGTGGAAGTGAAGTTAGGAGTGTTGGTGCATATGCAGCCTGCTTGGAACTGGCTACTTTTGTCTCTTAAAAGATGAGAGCTAGTTGGGTCTGTTGCAGGGCAGGACTCTGCCTTGTAAGGTACTGCCTTCTGAGAGGGAGTCTGGTTGTGACTTGCTGTGCAGAAGCATGAACTCTTTTTGTTCTTCACAGAGTAAGACATGGCTTCCTGTGGGGATTGCATGTACTTAAGCTTAAGTCCTTGCACTATGATGCAAAACCAGCTCCTGGTATCTTTTTTCTGCAGTGTATCTAGCTGCATGAGGTGTCTTCTACCTCTCCTAGCACAAACAGCATGCAACTGGCCAAAGCAAACATATGCTGTCTTTGGGGAGCAGGACAGAGTATCTGAAGCTGATTACGTAACCTATACATAGAATAGTGATTTATAATAGACTCTCTTTTGCACCTTTGTTTTAGGAAGGGAAAATGACCCCTTTCTACTAGTAGCTGGAGAAAATAGTGAATCTGGTCAATCACATCCGCACAAGTAGTGTGGGTGAGGTGGCGGGTGCTGTTTCCTACCAGCACAATTGTGCACTGGGCCTGGGTTTGAGTGTTTGTGGTGGTGGTTGTGATAAGCATCAGGACTTTTCTGCAGTGGCCGTTGCAAGCTGGGAGGCAGACTGGGCAGCCATGGTGCTGACCGACTGTCCAGTAGATGTCAGTGCAATTATGAACTTGTGACTAAGAGTATCACCCCGCTGCCCTTCCTGAATGTAACCTAACAGGGGCCCACATAGTTTATGAAGTGGGCCTGCACTTATGCAGTCAGATTTAGTCTTAAGCTTAACATAGTTAAGGCAATTAGGGAACAGGGAAGTTGCTACAGGAAGAGAAAAAATTGGAGGATTCTGAAACCAGAATAGCAATATTGGGTTATAACTCAAGTGAATGTTGTGATTTCTAAAACCTGTGGAAAAAGCTCACTGCTAGATGGATATAACTCTAATCAAAGTGAACCAGCAACAAGCTACTGTCAGTTATTGGGAGCAGGATGACTTTGAAAATTAGAATTGAGAAAAGGTGTTTATTTTGTGGTTTGGTGTGGGATTTCTTTTCTTCCACTGCTTTGGGGTACCTTCTTTAGTAGTACAGCTGCTTAGTTTGCCAAATGCATATCTCTTGTCCCTAATGCGCACAGAGTAATTGGCAAGAACACATAGATATTTAGTGGCAAGAAATGAAGGCATTTCATTTAGAAGCAAAACATCTGTGAGGGGTAAAGCTGGATAAGGAAAATCCCGTGCTTAGAAGCTGCTGTCCTTTTGACTCTGCCTTGTTTGTGTTAATACATGGGTGGAGAAAATGATGCAACTATTTTTTTTATCCCTTCTTCCTGGACTGGTAAAACCACTGAGTGATTATGTAAACCACTAAACTATGAAACAAAATTCTCTTGGCAAGAGCGCACTAAGAAATTGCAGCTTGGCACCCTTATCCCCTGGATCTCCTCTGTTCTCCTTTTGCATCAGAACTGACTGGGCTGGTGCACTTGTCTTCCAGTGCTCTGACCTAGAAGGCTTGCCGGTTCTGGTCCGTGCATTTCAAGAGACTAAATGCGGTGCCTGGTAAAAGGCCTGAGTTCCATTCTATATTTCACCTCATCTGTAGTTTATTATATTAACCTCTGAAAGAGAAGCTTTTGTACACTTCAAACTGTAACCACAAACCAATGCCTGACTTTATATATAAAGGTCTAACTCTTTAGGGAGGGAAACTCCTGTTTTCCCTATGCTAATTTGCAGGGTGTGAAGGATACTGGGAAAGCACCACTCTGTATTAATCCTTTCTTTGCCTGTGTTTATTTCCCAAGTGATGCAATGGCTGTTGTGTGATAGCTTGTTGGCTTATAGATTTAAGCTCTGATAAAAGAACTGCAGATCTGTCAAAACCCTCCTTAAGAGAAGTTTCACACATTTGCTTGAAATTTTTGCTGCTCATTCATTACAGATTGCAAAAGATGAAGAAAGTAGGGAAGATCATCTTGCCTGCTGATGCAGAAAAAGGGCTGTGGCTGCTTCTGAAGAATAGCTTTTTGTTATGCAGTGCTGCCTTGTCTAGATCAGACCCCACTTCTTTGAAATCCCTGGAAACCTTATGATGGGCTCTGGGTTGGATACAGAGGGGTTTATTGTGATAGTGCTAACTGGAATTCTTCAAGCCTTTTGTTCTATGTGTACCTCATGGCACGTTATCTTCTGGGTAGCAGTTGCTCATTAACCTACACTTGTGAAGGTCACAGGAAGAACAAGGTTATCTGTAGCAGTCAGTCCCTCTTCTAGCAAAATGTGTGGCTGGGCAGCCCAGCACATAATTGCCGGGGCTTGTCTGCTCTCAGTATATGGTGGTTGAGCAGTCAGGTTCCTGGACCAAAAGTTCATCTTGCAGTCAATGTCCAGTTGTCCTCCTAGCATTCACTTGAATTCTGCAAGAGTCCCAACCCTTGCTGTTTCCACTGTTTCACATAAAGGGTCTGTGCCTTCAGGAATTCACTTTTTTTTCTCCTTCCTGTGACACAGATACTACTTGCTGCTTTTAACAAGGCTAAGGTGAACTTGTGCATCTAACCAGCCCCTAACCTGTATAACACTGTAGAGTTATGTTGTGCACAACAGCCTGTATCTATGGCATGCTCTGTAAGCCACGATGTGCGTGTGGTATGTTGGGTTTGGTTTGCTGCCTGCCCTACTATTAACTGTTGCAAGCTGATTTTCAAGGGGTGGGAGACAATACTTCTGATAACTATCTATAGGACCTAGGAATTGTTCTCTCATGACTTCTTATTCCGCAGTGGTTTTGTCTATTTTTGAAAACTAATCTAGTCATTCACCCCTTCCTCTGAGGGAAGAGCTCTCACTTTTGCCAAGGCAGTTGTGGGAGAAATAGCTGAAGCTCTGTCTGTGTTTCCTTCTTCCCCTTAAATCAATGAGACCACCACACCTGGCTGCCATGTCAGCCAGTTTGTTTGTGCCAAACATGCCCTGTGCCTTTACAGTGGGCTCTGTCCTGCCTGCCCTCTGTGTCCCTGCGGTGTCTACCTTTCCGAATGCTGCAGATTGTTCCCCTCTCCCTCCTTTCCCTTGCCTACTGGTGGGACACACCTCTGTTTCCAACCTGCAGGCATGTCTCTAACCGTGTCCATCTCGCTGTGTGGATCCATATCAGCCCTCCTGCACAGGGAGGGGAAACCTCTAGTTACAAACAGAAGACTTAAAATTTTAACATTGAAATAAAATCTTTTTCTTCTGGGGTTTTCTCTTGCTCTTGAAAACAACATCTAAAACAGCTCTTTAAGCTAATTGTGTCCTGGGACTGTGCTACTGTCACTGAGTTTGAGAAGACACTTAAGCACACAACACAGGTGGAGATCCTGTGGAAATTACTGATGTCAGAGCAGCAACTAGACCAGCAATAGCATATGCAAGTCACATATTTACATGGCAATGTCACTAAGTAGTGTTCACAGTCACTTTAAAAGTTCAGTATTAAATTGTTGATGCTTTTTTCTCCTGTTTCTTTTTTTCTAATGTTTTGCTGAAGAAAATGTAACTATTTATTTTGGCAGAAATATACCTTCTAATAAAACCTTTCTCAATATATTTATCTGGCTGTGGTAGGTTGCTTGCCTTGCCATTTAAAGATTTATTAAATATTTTTTGAATGCACTGTACAATGTGGGTGTGTTTTGCTGAGCCCCATCACTTCATCCTGTTCAAAATCCTCTCAGGGTAAAGAATTGGGCATTGACCTAGAGGTGAAAAATGGTGCATTTTGGCCTGGTTCTGACTTCCTCAAGCTACACTATCCCAAATTATATTAGTCTGTTTTGTTGGAGCATCTGTAGCCCCTAGTTTCCAAGAGGAATTAAGCACCATCTTGTGGGAACTGCAGGTGCTTGGCACCTGTGAGGATTAGTAAAAAATTATTCACAAATGCCAGGGGCATCTCTTGGGGGAAACTGAACCCTGCCTCTTAGGCCTGTCTTTACCAGTTGGTGAAAGAGATGACACTGGCTGCTGTGAATCTGTGTCAGTTATGTGCCAAGGTCTTTCCTGGTTAATCTCCAGCTGGGTCATGTGGAAGCTGACAGCCCTTGGACTCCAGGGAAGGGCTGGGCCTTTCCTTAGCTGTGAATTGCTGGGCTGTGGAGCTGGGATCCTTAGGGCAAGAAAAATAACACTGCGCAGGTTGGGGTTTGTTCCTGCAGGGTTTAGGCTCTTT